AAGAGAGAGAAAGAGAGAGAAAGAGAGACGATAAAAAACAAGAGGCGCCCGCAACCTCAGCAACACATCGAGCGCGTTGCTAGGCGACTCCGACGCGCCGCTGCATTTAAATCCAGCTCATAGATATTATTATCCTACGATATTATATAATATCATAATAGCCTCGTTCACACGAGACCTCGTATTTATGAAATACGGTATTTGCGAAATACCGAATCTGAGACAAATACGCGGCCGAGCGTTCACACGCTGATTCGCGGCTCCAGAAATACGGTATTTGCGAGCTGCGAGCTGCTTTAGTAACAATCAAGCGAACAATGCGAAATAAACAATGCAATGCGCCCCAACTGCCGATAAAATACGTAGACTGGTCCGCGCTCGACAGTTCCACTCGCGTTACACTGGAACTGTCGAGCGCGGACCAGTCTATAAAATACGCGGCTTCAGAAATCCGGTATTTAGCGTTCACACGAGGAAATGCGCGGTCCAAGAGATCCGGTATTTCTCAAGCACGGCAAATTATTCGGGGTCTAGGATGCCTCGTATTTACATCAAATACCGGATCTGTTTAGATACCGTATTTCTTGGACCGTGCATTTTGCCTCGTGTGAACGCTAAATACCGGATTTCTTGCTACGTGTGAACGCGGCTTATGTGGCGTAAAAATGATTGACAGACACGTTAGGAATGCGATAGAGAACAACGTTAATGACGTATAGGTTCTGAAAACGCGGAAAATTTCCAACGGCTGCATTATTTGATAATGGATAACGAAATTTTAGTTCGACCGTTCGATGCGCTGAAGATTCGCTGAAATGTCGATCAGATATAAAGACTTACTTGTTTGTAAATCGAGAGTTTGGTTATGCAATATTGATTTACACATTTACACAGGTTTATGATGCAAAAAGATGCTGGAAATTGAAAGGGACCGCATTCTCTGTATCCCGCACTGGGGGAGGGGGCGCACTGTATACAGGTCTCTGTGTAAAACACTGATTGTTCAACAATAACAGCTGGCAGCACCTAACGATGTATTATGTATATATATATATATATATATATATATATATATATATATTATATGTGTAAGCCCCGGGGCGATGATCGTCATCTGACGAGAGCTTACCCGAGCGTCACACTGGTCACTCTCAAAGCGCATGTACTTCTTCGGATACTCTATACTGCGAAACATGCGCACGTGACCTTCGCCGACCTTGATGACCCGGAAGTGCGTGTCCTTGTCGTGACTAGACGTTGCCGATAGGTTTCCGTCCTTGTCGACGCTGAGCGCGTGGTGACGCGACGTGTAGAACTTGACGACGCCGTTGTTGCGGAATGTACCCTGCGTCATGACAACGTCAATGTACATCACGCACCGCTTTTACTGATCTCTTCCACGCCCACCCTAACTCACCCGCTAAGTGCGCTGAGTGATGGTAGCATCTACGGCCTTTCGTTTATTCCATACAGGGCCGTAGGCTTAGCAAATTTTTAGGGGGCAGGGCAAAATTTCATGACTCAATTGTGTAATGATGAGCGACGTGCACAGATCTGGAGCGACGTCCAAGGGGTGGTAGAGGTGGGTCTGAGACAAGGCTTTCACGGATAAGGGACCAAAAAATCACGTTAGGGTTATTTACGATTATTAGCTAAGCTTTATTTTTAAATTTTGCTCCAAAAGCTAGGGGCAGCTGCCCCACTTGCCACCCCACAGGCTACGGCTCTGCTATAACTACGCATTCTGGGAAGAAGGAAAAAACGCCTACGTAGATCGCCAGTCTTTACATTGGCAGCACTGTAGCCACCGCTGCGCAGTGGCGCCATTTCGGTTTTCGCGTGCTTAGAATGCGCCTTTAATCATCAGCGTTAACCATCAGTCCTTTCCCCGCGCAGATACCTACTAATCAGTGCGCACGATCAAACGTTACCGAGACCGATCGACACCTGTCATCGTGCCGCGGTCAAACATTGGTGACAAACGCACTCGACCCGAGTTCCGTAGTGGGACGAGGAACTGATACAGGGGGAAGAGGGAGGCGGGAGGAAGGCTTCGACGTATGTGGAATAAAGGGGAAGGGTTGGCGTAGCGTAGAATGTTACTTAAGTAAAAATGTTAGAAAACCTTAGAAAACGTTTGAAAAATACGATCGAATCTTTAAACGATTAAATTTAAATCGTGGTCCCAAATTTAAAATCTAAATTCAGAAAAAATGTTGAGCATCTGAACCTCTCCAGCTCCCCGGCCAAGTCCCATGGCTTCAATAAAAAACCCTCCGCAGCGCTGCAGACGTAGATAAATCTGTCAATTTTAATAGCGGCAGCGGCATATAGACGTGATATGATCATAGTCAGCAATCGTGCAGTTCTACATGCATTGATTAATCGATATGTGAATAAAACGAATGCAGACAAAAAAACGCAAATGCCGTCGCGCTGTTACAGTCTACGTACACACGTACACTCGCACGAGTTGAGTTTGCACAAACGCTCGCCCCATACGCACGTACGCACGCGCGCGCGCTCCTACCTTGATGTAGACGTGAAACTGTCTACTCTTGTGGAATGCCATCTCATCGGTGTCCTGGTCAGGGTTATCTGACGGTGGCGCCATCATGGTGATGTATTGCGACGGGTAGACGACCGATTCGAGCAGAATGCTCCTGTCTGTCTGCACGTGCACGACGAACTCACAGTGTTCGTCACCTTTACCCTGTCATAACGTAATAACACGTCACCACCTCACCTTTACCCTGCCATGACGTAATAACACGTCACCACCTCACCTTTACCCTGCCATGACGTAATAACACGTCACCACCTCACCTTTACCCTGCCATTACGTAAAAACACGTCACCACCTCACCTTTACCCAGCTATGACGTAATAACACGTCACCACCTCACCTTTACCCAGCCATGACGTAATAACACGTCACCACCTCACCTTTACCCAGCCATGACGTAATAACACGTTACCACCTCACCTTTACCTTGCCATGACGTAATAGAACGTCACCACTTCACCTTTACCCTGCCATGACGTAATAACACGTCACCACCTCACCTTTACTCTGCCATGACGTAAAAACACGTCACCCCCTCACCTTTACCCTGCCATGACGTAAAAACACGTCACCACCTCCCCTTTATTCTGTGGTGACGCAACAAACAACACGTCGTCAATATGTAGACCACGTCGTCCCTTTACACTGCCACCACAACATTACAACATGTCACCCCGCACAAAAAACCGACACGCAATGTCACGTATGCCAAACGTGATATATCCGTTCTCTCGCTATTGTCATATACAACCTCTTCTGCTAGCATCTATGACAATATATAGCAAATATAGTTCGGAACGAAGTTGACTCGCCAATATTTGTCATAGGAGAGCGTATATGCATATGTCGTATTTGTCATAGATGCAAGCAGAACATGTTGTCATATAAGTGCAGTCGGGCGGGGTCTGTGGCAACGCAAAATTTACAAATCTCCAACTCTTCTGCATACGTAACCGTCCTGCGTCACAGTGGCGTCACAAGAGGGTTCGGGGGGGGGGGTGCGGAACGCACCGGGTGACACCATCAGAGGGGGTAATTTTAATTTTGCTAGTTGTTTATGTAACGGCTATTGCCATTACATTCGCTGATATACGAGAATTACAATTTACAGTCTAACATTAGTACAAAAAACATTACTAAGGATTCTGTATGGTCTGGTACGGGAGGAGGTCCATGGGGGTGACACCATGAGTTGCCGTACCGTGTGACACCAACCCTAGTGACGCCGCTGCTGCGACAATAGTCATCGCCTCGTTGACTCTTGTCGAACCGCGACGTACGGCCGGACGCCATATTTGCGCTCTTTCGAGTCTCTTCGTAGCTTTTCCAAAATTCCATCAACAACAGGACGCGCGCAAAGTTAGCCGTGCGTACAAAATACGAGATAGAAAAATCAATTTTCGGAAATTTTGTTTCCACGTATAAATGTCAAATGACGTATAGTGAGTGTGAGGTGACTTAGTAAATATAGACTCCGAGCGTAACAGAAATTATTCGATTTAGTAATATTAGGAATACAACAAAGGAAACTCGAGTAGCGTCCGAATAAAGATTGAGACGATATTATATAATAATCTTAATTATTATATTACAATAATTATGTATAATTATTATATTATTATATATAATTAATATTATAAATTACCTTTGAAATAGATAGTTCAATAATTAACAGAGTAATTTGTTTGTTTCATAATAATTTAAAATACTCTGGCACCGACGACTTCCGCATGCGTTTCCGGTTTCGACACGTACCTGTCCATACACCCTTCCCTCGTCGACCGTCAAAAAGTTAGACGGATAGGTGGCGCTGTTGAACATGCAGATGTTGTCGGCCGCACCAGCCTTCTTTACGTGTAGGACCGCGAGCGGAAGAGCTGAAATGAAGGGGGGGAATTACAGCAGGCGGGCATCGATCGAACTTGGGACGTGGCATGCCGGGGAGAGAACGACAAGACCAAGCCTGAT